CTTCACGTGTTTCAGTGACAGCCATCAACATTTGAACCACTTTACGTGTTTTAGTGAAAGCCATAAACATTAGAACAACTTCAAGTGTTTCAGTGACCAGCTATTAACATTAGAACCACTTTACGTTTTTCAGTTCCAGTCATCATTATTAGAACCACTTTACGTGGTAGGTGAGAGCGATCAAATTTAGAACCACTTTAGGTGTTTCAATGACAGCCATTGACATTAGAACCACTTTACGTGTTTCAGTGACAGCCATCAACTTTAAAACTACTTCACGTTTGTCAATGACAACCATCAAATTTAGAACCACTTCACGTGTATCAGTGACAGCCATCAACATTAGAACCAAATAACATATTTCAGTGACAGCGATGAACATTGAAGCACTTCACCTGTTTCAGTGACAGCCATCAACATTAGAAACTTTATGTATTTCAGTGACAGCCATCAACATTAGATCCACTGTACATGTTTCAGTGACAGACATTAGCATTAGAACCAATTTATGTGTTTCAGTGATAGCCATGAACATCAAACAACTTAACGTGTTAATTGTGAGCCATCAAATTTAAATCCACTTTTGCTGTTTCATTGACAGCCGTCAACATTAGAACCACTTTACGTGTTTCAGTGAGAGCCATCAACTTTAGAACAACTCCACATGTTGTTTTTTTTGGACAGTCTTCAACATTCGTTCCACTTTACGTTTTCCAGTGAAAGCCATCATCATTACAAACATTTTACGTGTTTCAGTGAAGGCAATCAACATTGACCACTTTACGTGGTAAGTGAGAGCCATCAAATTTAGAAACGCTTTAGGTGTTTCAGTGACAGTCATCAACATTAGAACCACTTCACATGTATCAGTGACAGTAATCAACATTGAAACCACTACACGTGTTTCAGAGACAGTCATTAACATTAGAACCACTTCACTTTTTCAGGGATAGAAATTAACATTAGAAAAACATGATGTGTTTCAGTGACAGCCATTAACTTTAGAACCACTTCACATGTTTCAATGACAACCAATAGCATTAGAACCAATTTATTTGTTTCAGTGACAGCCATCAACATTACAACCACTTAACGTGTTTCATTGACAGCCATCAACATTGAAACCACTTCACGTGTTTTAGTGACAGTCATTAACTTTGGAAACACTTTACTTGTTTCTGTGACAGTCATCAACAATAGAACCACTTCACATGTTTCAGTGACAGCTATCAACATTAGAACCACTTTACTTATTTTAGTGACAGCCATCAACATTAGAACCACTTCACATGTTTCAGTTTCAGCCATCAACTTTAGAACCACTTCACGTGTTTCAGTGACAGCCATCAACATTAGAAACACTTCACATGTTTCAGTGACAGCCATCAACATTAGAACCACTTCACATGCTTCAGTGACAGCCATCAACATTAGAACCACTTTACGTGTTTTAGTGACAGCCATAAACATTAGAACCGCTTCACGAGTTTCAGTGACAGCCATTAACATTAGAAACACTTCATGAGTTTCAGTGACAGACATCAACATTAGAACCACTTCACGTGTTTCTGTGACATTAGAACTACTTAACATGTTTCAGTGACAGCCATCAACATTAGAACCACTTTACGTGTTTTAGTGACAGCCATAAACATTAGAACCACTTCACGTGTTTCAGTGACAGCCATTAACATTAGAAACACTTCATGCGTTTCAGTGACAGACATCAACATTAGAAACACTTCACGTGTTTCAGTGAAAGCCATTAACATTAGAACCGCTTGACGTGGTAAGTGAGAGCCATAAAATTTAATCCACTTTAGGTGTTTGAATGACAGCCATCACCATTAGAACCATTTTACGTGTTTCAGTGACAGCCATCATGTTTAGAACCACTTCACATGTTTTTTTGACTGTCTTCAACATTCGTACCACTTCACGTGTTTCAGTGAAAGCCCTCAACATTACAAACATTTTACGTGTTTCGGTGAAGGCAATCAACATTAGAACCACTTTACGTGATAAGTGAGAGCCATCAAATTTAGAACCACTTTACGCAGTAATGTAGACGACAAAGTTTCAGGAATTTTAAAATTTTGGGCTGTTATCTCAAACTGTGCAACTCTTTTTCCGTAAATTTCGGAAATACTTTACAAATTTTATTGCATCGCAACGGCTGGAGCCGTGAGTCCATTTTCCATTGCTCCCAAATTGGCTGTTATTTCGATTTCTTTTAATTTTATTTGGAGCTTTAGCTCCATTTGTTTAAGTTCTCGTTATTTTTCATCTCTCTCTCTCTCTTTGAGCATTTAGTATAATTGTCTAAGCTCTCGTTCTTTTTCATCTCTCTCTCTCTCTCTCTCTCTCTCTCTCTCTCTCTCTCTCTCTCTCTCTGAGCATTTAGCTCCATTTGTTTGAGCTTCAGTTGTAGTTCCATACTAGGATCATGCGATTGTGTCACTGAGGCCAGTTCGTCCTCAGATAACCCATCTTCATCCACTAAATGGACGGTGATCCTATCTCGTACGGTCTTTTTTACTGCCGAATGAGCTACATTTATTCCTAGAGCTTTAGCAATGGAAAATAGCTCCTTCCTAGAACATTTGTCTAATTCCTCTACTGATGGGTTTTCAACATCAAAATCCATTTTGACACAGGCAAAATATAACAATAAGTTTTAATAAAACTTAAGCTTAGTGAACACACACATAAAAATTGAATTTAAAAAAAAATTGCAACTAGCCCTGTTATTAGTATCGTAAAATGGTATCATGCACTCAAATTTAGTCTGAGTATATTAAAGTAAACAGTGGGTCAAAATCAACAGAAAAACACTCAGTGTATTACTGTTGTATTAAAAATTATGGAATCAAATATCCAAGGACAATCCCACAATTTGTTAAATTTTGGGATTTGTAAGAAATAAAAATGTTGATTCAGGTATAACCCGGAGGAGCAACCCAATGTGTTAAATTGGGAGCTTTTAAGAAATAATAATATGTATTCAGTTATCCCCGGAAAAGCCCCCAATTGTTAAAATTGGGGATTAATGAGAATAAAATATGGATTCATTTATCCCCGGAAGAGCCCACAATTGTTAAAATTGGGGACTTAAGAAAAATAATAATATTGAATCAATTATCGCGGACGAGCTATCCCAATTGTTACGCACTGGCTTCTAATATGAGAAATTAATCTCCTATTTTAATGTTAATTGGCTCGTTGTAAACAGTGCATAACAATGGACCATACCATAGAGTCAACACTATTAAAGATAAGACACCCAAAACAGTTGCTAGTCACACTTAATAAGATTTATTAAGTATTAATGTAATTTTTTAAAAAAAAGAAGAAAAAGAAATATCTTTACAAATCATCAACTTACAGTATGGCAGATCTTGTACCGGTACACAGTTAACATAGTTCGTATAATGTGCCCATTAATAATGATGAAATGTGAAATAAACATATATAAATATGAACACACAAATACACAAAGAAATACACGCCTCGTAAAGTTAATAATATCTATCTGAATCTCCATCTCTCCGTATCTGTCAAACCCTTACATACATGTAGCGTAAGACGCTTCCAGAAAAGAATTATGACGTGTTGTTAACATTTCTCGGGTTATCGAGAAGATTCGACAAGATACCAAGAGACATACTACCCAATGTGTAATTGGCAGTGGTTGTAAACAAGATACATCAAAGAGAATTTAAACCACCCCCACAACAAACGTTACCGTCTGCTAGTGATCTAATTTGGGTCAAGCAAAGTTCAAGCACGGGGAAATCGTGTCAAACGTTATACATAACAATGCGAACAACAAAAAGTAAATTTTGGGCTTATGATCAGAAGCGGCTAGTTTTCAAAATAACACGATATTTATAATCGAATTCTATGACTAAGGGCCTGTAACAAGATTAACCTGAGCATATTCTGTCAGTTCCCAAGACACACACTAAAACATATGGTGAACGATCTTTCTCTTTCTGCGCCCCCAAACAATGGAATTCTTTGCCAATACACATATGCAATATACAAACCAAACAGGCCTTCAAAGCTGCACTCAAAACACATCTCTTTAAAATATACAACCCTGACTGATTCCCTCCTCTGACCGATAAACGATCGTGCTGGCTACCGTCCATGGTTTGCCATGTAAAAGTTATGTGGTGGGTTGGGTGAATATACATTTGTTTTGGTTGTTTTGGTTAAACGCTGCTTTTTTTATTTCATAAATGTATTTTATTTAAATGTCACGATTATGTCTCTTTTGCTAATACTTTTATGTAAAGCGCTAAATAAGACCACTAATTATTATTATCATTATATTATCATTATTTTTATTATATCGAATAAAACGGTATTTTATTTTTTCCATTAATTGTAATCGATGAATAGCGCACATTTCTATCACTTTAAAAAAAAATGTTATAACAAATAAAATTTAGTACCGGTAGTTTTTTATTAAAAAATTATATTTTTTACACATTTTTCCCCGGGGGTCGGGGGCCCTTGACTTGCTCCGGGGGGGGGGGTGCGAAAGTATGCCTGAAAGAAACCCTGGAAAGGGGAAAAATTATGCGTAGCCCAAGGCCCCTCTAAGGTTTGTTGGTTCGTGTGCAAAATCCTACAGATTTGTGCAAAGTTTTACGGCATCAATTTTTTGTGTATAACAAATAAAATTTAGTACCGGTAGTTTTTTATTAAAAAATTATATTTTTTACACATTTTTCCCCGGGGGTCGGGGGCCCTTGACTTGCTCCGGGGGGGGGTGCGAAAGTATGCCTGAAAGAAACCCTGGAAAGTGGAAAAATTATGCGTAGCCCAAGGTCCCTCTAAGGTTTGTTGGTTCGTGTGCAAAATCCTACAGATTTGTGCAAAGTTTTACAGCATCAATTTTTTGTGTGCAAATTGTACAGCCCACAAACACCCTTACATGGAAATTTGCTGCGCGCAGCTTAACAGTAATATTGGGTCACGTTGCCCCGAACATAGCTTTGGCCTTGGCTTTCCAAGACCCTTAATATATTATGAAGAAATAGGATAGCCAAATTTGATTGTTGTTTATTTAAACTTAAATATGTTTTTGCTATTTGTATGAAACCAGTTTATACACAAGAATGTTCGCATTTCTTATACTTAGAAATTGACATAGATTATTAGAACGTGACGTAAGCTGGTTCAAATGATTAATGAAAGTTACAGTTTTATCACTTCGAACGGAATTAATGGAGGTAAAAAAAATTACGTTTATGTTTACGTTATCCAAATTTTTGACTCGCATCTTTCCTTAAAAATTTTATTTAAAAAATACTTCTTTGAACAAATTTAATTGACTCAAGCTTCTTTTCGAAAACTATTTCGTTGTATAAAATGATTTCGTACTAATTTCTGGATTGGTATTTTCGGCAGGTCTCTTGCTTTTTTTTCTTCTTTTTTTTCTGCCAAGGGAAACTACTCTACACTCTACAAGTGAAATGGCGACATGTATGCTGTTTTCTAAACTTTGTCAGTAAGTCTCAAGGTGCTTTTTAAAAATATTAGTAAAAAAAATTTTTTTTTAAATAATGTTTTTAGCAGTACTGTTTGGTTTTCGTACATTGGTTTGGTACCGAGGTTATCTACCACTTGATCTTGATGAGCGTCGGCCAAGAAAAAATACAGTAGTTTTCGGTTAAAGGGTTTGGGTAGCCGGTGCCGGTGGGTGAGGAAATGAGGTCAAGCTTTTCACGAATTGTTCTTCTTATAAACGTTTCTGTAATTGTTAATTTTTAGGTGAAGCCTGTAATTGTTAATTTTTAGGTGAAGCTCAGTAAGCCTAGCCCTAGGCTGGGGTACTGCGCTATTTAAAACCACCTTATAACTTTAAAAGTGCAGTTCAAGTGCGTAATTAACGCATTTTGTACTTTCGCATATAAACTTACATGTATTCTTTATATTCATTCTTTGTATTCAAATCCCGGCAGTAATAGTTAACTACTACTGAATACATGTCCGGCGACTGGACAAATAATTCTCGAGATATTCGTCCGGCGACCAGGTCTGTTGGGCGAGATAGCTGTCCATCAGCCTTGTCGTGTGACCGTTAATAGTTGATCATAAAACTGGAGATGCATTGGGCGCGACGAGTATACACTTCATTTCAAGAAATAATGGGGGGGGGGCAATGCATATTAAATTAGAAGGAAGAAATACTGAGAGCGAGAGAAAGGATAAATATGAATGATAGTGACGGTGATAAAAAAATTAGGCAAGGAGGTCCAAAGTTTACAAAGAAATAGACCAGCCTACATCTTAATATAGGGCCAATATAGTGTGCTATTGGGGTAGCCTTCTTCTCACGCAATATTAATAGCCTAAAATAAAACATTTTTTAACAGTAGATCTATGGACAGTCAACTGGCATGTATTGGTCTTATTTTCTTTGCTTCATATTTTAAATTTAGGCTACTAGGTAGAGCTTTATAAGATATTTAAACCAAGATAACAGACTTTTTATTTTTTTAAATTTTGCCGGCAACGTCTTGTCACGTGACATGCCTGCAGGAAGAATATGTCCCGCTGTATTTATCCGGTCGCCGGACGTGTAGACACTGCCTTCTTTTTATTTGATTTTCTAAAGCGTCTTACTGTGAACATCCCCCCAACCATGTACCTTAACTCCATTTGTTTGTTTTTTTGTTGTTTTTTTTTTACCCTATTGCCAGATTTTTAATCACCTTTAAGTTGGTAAGCTAAACGAAATGTTCAAACTGTAGGCATGTTCACCAAAATAAAAAAAAATACTGGGTGGTGGGGGTATGTGTGTGTGTGTGTGCGTTTGAATGAACTTAATTCGATGTTCCGTTTAGGCATAGGGGCCCAAAATTTTGTTTTTTCTTATATGAGATGTATAAATATAATTCCAAACAAAGGCATGGGTGAATGAATTAGAGACCGACCAAAAGTATTTTCTGATTTTGACCGAAACCAGGTCGAATGTTAAAAAATGACCCAAAACTTAACTTTTCATTTTGGGCCAAAACCGAAATTAAACCAAAAGTTAACTTTTCACTTTCGGCCAAAACCGAAGCCGAAAAATTTAAATATTTCAAAACTCGTTTTAGCACACGTTCTGCTGACCGCGAAAAATGATGGAACAACTTTTGTGGCTATTTTTATTCGGCATAAATGATTCTCACACAATTTATCCAATGAAGTGAACCTTCTCCCCTTCTTTGGGTTTTACCATTTGCATAAAAAAATATTTTACAGCTAATAAACAATTAAATTTAAATTAGTATTTTAATTTTAAATTTTGACTGGGGGAAGGGAAAATTCATGCAAAATAGACACTTCTTTTAAAATATAATTACAACGCTATCTAAACTTATAAATGGTATCGACAGAGAGCTTAGGCTTTCTGTCGTTTAATGGTATGCACTATTTAAATGTCCACACACGAGACTTGAAAAAAACTCTTTTCTTCTGAGAACCCATACATTTTTTGTTGAAACTCATGTTATTATTAGTCGACCCGAAATTGTTTATTTATCGGCAATTATCATTTGTCTGCTAATTTTAGATTTGAACTAGATTGAACAAAAGTTTAGCGAATGTTGGTTTAGTTTGATTATCAGACACATTACATAATTATTTACAAAACAGTGACACATGCATACATATGTATCCTTATGATTTAAATTTAAAGGAAACTTTTTCCTAATTATACAAAATTGAAAAAGTAATGATGTTTTACAATTTTTTAAAAATATTACTAAAGGTACATTCTTTTCTTTCTTTACATTTGATTCCATACACTTCACACTTGACTCATGTGGTGTGATATTTTAAACTTTTATTTCGTTGTCAGTAAAAACGTTTATGAGCACGATAACGTGAATGTCAATGAATTAATTAATTGAGAAAGCCTAGTGATCCCAAATTAAAAAGAATAATGTGAAAAATAATAAAGGAAATCTTACAATTGCCTAAACAATGTTGTTCACAATGCTAGTTACCTTGGACTAGGTCTACATTTTTGAGCAAGATAATGATAAATCAAAATGCATTTCACAAATAAATGACTTGAACAAAGCTAGTGTTCCCAATTTAAAAAAAGAAAATCAAAAATAATAATATAAATATTAGGGGTGTGCCGGATCCGTTTTTTCCAACCGGATCCGGATCCGGATTTTCTTATGCGAAATCCGCCGGATCCGGATTCCGGTTTCTCCCGGATTCCGGATTTTGGTACTATTGGTAGATACTTCGGTAAGTCAAGGTGGACTACTACTTTTTGTGTATGGGAATTCGCAATCGGCGCCAAAAAATCCGAGTTTTTAATTTTCCGATGTGTGTGTCTATTTATTATTAAATTAGTACTTTCGATATATATTTGAGTTCCGTTCCATTTGGATAAGTGTCTTACGAGAGACGCCATGTTTCTACGCGTTCGCAGCAGGTTATGCAGCTCGCTCAACCTAATTTCGCCATGGGGTTGGCCACGCCCCCCTTTTTAATGGCGGAAGTTGACGATACTTAGGAAATATTAATTTATTATCACTATTTACATCAAAATAATTGATAACTTGTGTTTCAGAATGCATTTAAAGACATTTAAACTGGAATGTTTTAATTTGAGCTTTAACAACCCGGTAGAATCCATATTATAAATGATCAGAATTTACCGTGTGCAACACGTTGTCATTGGCAACCATTCACAGCCACTTGCATAACTGTATCGTAGTACTACCTCAGAGTTTCATTCATAAGAGTTTGCCGTGTGCAAAAACTATTAAACCATTGGTCAGGGAAAGCTTTAATTAATTATTCATGTGCCAAAGTTGAAAGTTTAAACTAAGTCTAAACAGTATTTTAGTGATAAGGCAGGGAATGCGTTGCCTTATATAAACTATATAGTCATTGCGCATGACGGGATTGGCGGAATGAGATCACAGAATGTGGAGATGCAGTCCATGTTAAAAAATGACAAACCAAGTCGTACTTTAAAAATTCATAACTTTAAAACTACAACAGCTAAAAATATGATTTTGGTGTTATAATTCTTTAAAAAATTACATCTTTTCAACTATGCCATTGGTTTATTTTTACAAAAAGTTTAAATTTTCTTATCAAAGTCCCTACACTATTGGCCACTATTAGCGGTGCTGACTCTAGCCTCTGGTATGTACGGAATATTAAACATTAAACAAGCTCAACGCTCGAAACAATCGATTAATGTATCGTGATCGTGTGAAATTCGGGAAAGAGAATTACTTTTATTTCAGATTATGATCCGGTGAGTCACAAAATCTGGCAAATTCCGAAATCCGGTATATTCCGGATTCCGGAATCCGGTTGTTCCGGATACATGTAAATCCGGCGGAACCGGATTTCACCGGATAGTGCAAAATCCGGCGGAACCGGATTCCGGACCGGGGTCCGGCACACCCCTAATAAATATAACCACTACCCCATAGTTTTTCCCACAAAACTGTTAACTTTTTCTTTTGCCTTATTGAAATTTCATTTCTTAAAATATTGGACAAGTCATGAAGCTGTCAACATTGTTCGAAAATTATTTGTTACATATTACCGATGACAGCAATACGTCGCGAAATAAATAATATCGGATTGCCAGCTGTCAGAGTGACAATCTGACATCTGGTAGAAGACCGAAGGCATTTTTCAATTTCGGCTAGACGGCCGAAAATCTCAGTCACTTTCGACCGAAATGAAAAGTGAACTGAAACTTAACTTTTTAGTTTCGTCCGAAACCGAAATTAAACCGAAAGGCTGAAAGTGATAAAATGGTAACTTTCGGCCCCGAAACCGAAGCCGAAATTCCGTCGGTCTCTAGAATGGATCTAGATCAAACTTAGTGCACATACACTTGATTATCTATATTCAAATACCAGAACTGAAGGGTAATGAACTAATAATTAAAATTGTTCTTAAAACTATCCAATATGACGTCACTTATGATGGCATTCAGAAATGATTTTTTTTTAGCCCTTTAGCTAAAATCTAAATTAAGGGGCCTGTAAAAAACACATGAATCATTTTTTTTTAAAACTTTCTCCCCTTAAAAAAAAAAATTTAAAAAATACAATTCTAAGGGTATCCTGATCCCAAGTGGGGATCCCTTCCCAGTAGTGATCCCATTCATCCCAGTGGCATCGCAGCCTTATTTGGAATAGCGTTACTTGTGGGACACCAACACCATTGGGATGAACCAGGGGATCCCTTTCCTGATGGGATCCAACTTACCGGGGGGAACCGAACATGGTGGGATCGAGTATACCAGATGAGATCACGTTTCCTGATGGGATCCTATACCTGTTGGGATCTCTATTTCCAGTGGGATCCTGTTCCTCTGTAGGATCTTGTTCTCCAATGGGATCCCATTCACTGATGTGATCCCATTACCGGTGGGATCCAGTACCCTGATGGATCCCATTCCCTTGTGAGATCCCGTTGCTTGGTGGGATCCCATTCTCCATTTAATCCCATTCAGGTTGGAATATATTCTCTGTTGTAATACTATTTCAATTATAATCGGATCAAGTGTCTCAGTTGGATCCTGTTAGGATCTTGTTCCTCAGTGAGATCATGTTCACGGTGGGATTCTGTTCCCCGAAGAAATTATGAAAAGTTTTGCCATATCTTGGCTAAAATCCATCAATACACAAAGTAGTGTTAACAGTAATTCAAGCCTTCAACTTCATGTATGCATGTATAGCTAATGCCAAAATACATGTAATGTACAATTAATGTGGAACTTTCTAGAAACTTCCAAAATTATCTTTAATTCTTATTCTATAATATTCTGGGAAACTCATTAAAAGTTAATGAAACAATAAACATGATAATTAAGGTCATTTAAATAAGCTTTAGAAGAGTATAGAAAAAAAGAATATCTTTGCTTCTAGAATAATCTAGAAACTTCATGAAACATGTAAAAAGATGACTCAGACTCAGTGATACTTAAAAAATCCCCAGGAAAGTACAGACATGAATAGAATTAAACAAACATTTCAATCAGCTTTAAGTTCCCATTATATATTCCTATGGAATAATATCACCTAACTATGAAGCAGCTTGGTCATATGATATGCCACAAACCGTAATAAAGCACGAGACAGCAGTTGCACAGTTGTAGATTAGTGCAACTTTATGAGAGAAGAATGTACCGTGTGGCTTGAAAATAATCCAGATCAAATTGGAGGCATTGGTTAAAAAGTCATAGCTTGGGTGGTGGCGGTAGGGCTGTAGGGTGGGGTAAGCTTGGTTAAGTGGTGGAGAAACACCTATTTTATATGATGAACTATTAACTGAGGTGTCACCTCAGACCTTCCCAACTCACTACACACACTCACATAAGGTAGTCTTTGATGAGTGTTTCTTCTCTCCTCTAATGGATTTCCAACGTTGTGTTTTTATCAAAGTGATGATGGGCATTACGCCCGCTACCCTCCCCCTTTCCATCAGAGCGTGATCACAGACATTACGCCCGCTACCCCTCCCCCTTTCCATCAGAGCGTGATCACAGACATTACGCCCGCTACCCTCCCCCTTTCCATCAGAGCGTGATCACAGACATTACGCCCGCTACCCTCCCCCTTTCCATCAGAGCGTGATCACAGACATTACACCCGCTACCCTCCCCCTTTCCATCAGAGCGTGATCACAGGCATTACGCCCGCTACCCTCCCCCTTTCCATCAGAGCGTGATCACAGACATTACGCCCGCTACCCTCCCCCTTTCCCTCAGAGCGTGATCACAGACATTACGCCCGCTACCCTCCCCCTTTCCCTCAGAGCGTGATCACAGACATTACGCCCGCTACCCTCCCCCTTTCCCTCAGAGCGTGATCACAGACATTACACCCGCTACCCTCCCCCTTTCCCTCAGAGCGTGATCACAGGCATTACACCCGCTACCCTCCCCTTTCCTCAGAGCGTGATCACAGACATTACGCCCGCTACCCTCCCCCTTTCCCTCAGAGCGTGATCACAGACATTACGCCCGCTACCCTCCCCCTTTCCCTCAGAGCGTGATCACAGACATTACGCCCGCTACCCTCCCCCTTTCCCTCAGAGCGTGATCACAGACATTACGCCCGCTACCCTCCCCCTTTCCCTCAGAGCGTGATCACAGACATTACGCCCGCTACCCTCCCCCTTTCCCTCAGAGCGTGATCACAGGCATTACACCCGCTACCCTCCCCCTTTCCCTCAGAGCGTGATCACAGGCATTACACCCGCTACCCTCCCCTTTCCTCAGAGCGTGATCACAGACATTACGCCCGCTACCCTCCCCCTTTCCCTCAGAGCGTGATCACAGACATTACGCCCGCTACCCTCCCCTTTCCCTCAGAGCGTGATCACAGACATTACGCCCGCTACACTCCCCCTTTCCCTCAGAGCGTGATCACAGACATTATACCCGCTACCCATCCCTTGCCGTCAGAGCGTGACAACAGACATTACGCCCGCTGCCCATCCCTTGCCCTCAGAGCGTGACAACAGACATTACGCCCGCTGCCCATCCCTTGCCCTCAGAGCGTGATCACAGACATTATGCCCGCTACCCTCACCCCTGGCTCTTAGAGTGTGATCTTAGGCATTACGCCCGCTACCCCTCCCTTGGCCTCAGAGCGTGATCACAGACATTACGCCGCTACCCTTCCCTTGCCCTCAGCATGATCACAGACATTACGCCCGCTACCCTCCTCCTTGCTCTCAGAGTGTGACCACAGACATTACGCCGCTACCCTTCCCTTGCCCTCAGCATGATCACAGACATAACGCCCGCTACCCTCCTCCTTACTCTCAGAGCGTGACCACAGGGATATACACCGCTACTCTCCCCCTTTCCCTCAGAGCGTGATCACGGACATTACGCCCGCTACCTTTCCCTTTCCCTCAGAGCGTGACCACAGACATTACGCCCGCTACCCTTCCCTTTCCCTCAGAGCGTGATCACAGACATTACGCCCGCTACCCTTCCCTTGCCCTCATTGTGATCACAGAAATTACGCCCGCTACCGTCCCCCATGCTCTTAGAGCGTGATCACAAACATTACGCCTGCTACCCTCCCCTTGCACTCAGAGCGTGATCACAGACATTATGCCCTCTACCCTGCCCTTGCTCTCAGAGCTTGATCACAGACATTACGCCCGCTACCCTCACCCTTGCTCTCAGAACGTGATCCCAGGCATTACGCCCGCTACCCCCCCTTGCCCTCCGAGCGTGATCACAGGCATTACTCCCGCTACCTCACCCCCTTCCTCTCATAGAGTGATCACAGACATTACGCCCGCTACCTTACCTTACCATCACAGGCGTGGCATACGCCAGCTACCCTCGCCTTGCCCACAAAGCGTGATCACAGACATTACGCCCGCTACCCTTCTCTTGCCCTCAGAGCATGATCACAGACATTACGCCCGCTACCATGCCCTTGCCCTCAGAGCGTGATCATAAACATTACGCCCGCTACCATGCCCTTGCTCCAGAGCGTGATCACAGACATTACACCCGCTACCCTCCCCCTTCCCTGAGAACGTGATCACAGACGTCATGCCCTCTACCCTCCCCTTTCCCTCAGAGCGTTATCACAGACATTACGCCAGCTACCCTCCTCCTTTCCCTCAGAGCGTCATCACAGACTTTACGCCCGCTACACTCTCCTTTTCCATTAGAGCCTGATCACAGACATTACGCCCGCTACACTTCCCTTTCCCTCAGAGCGTGATCACATACATTACGCCGCTACCCTCCCCCTTTCCCTCAGAGCGTGATCACAGGCATTACGCCGCTACCCTCCCCCTTACTCTTAGAGCGTGATCACAGACATTACGCCCGCTACCCTCCCCCTTACTCTTAGAGCGTGATCACAGACATTACGCCCGCTACCCTCCCCCTTGCCCTCAGAGCGTGATCACAGACATTACGCCCGCTACCCTCCCCCTTGCCCTCAGAGCGTGATCACAGACATTACGCCCGCTACCCTCCCCCTTTCCCTCAGAGCGTGATCACAGACATTACGCCCGCTACCCTCCCCCTTTCCCTCAGAGCGTGATCACAGACATTACGCCCGCTACCCTCCCCCTTTCCCTCAGAGCGTGATCACAGACATTACGCCCGCTACCCTCCCCCTTTCCCTCAGAGCGTGATCACAGACATTACGCCCGCTACCCTCCCCCTTTCCCTCAGAGCGTGATCACAGACATTACGCCCGCTACCCTCCCCCTTTCCCTCAGAGCGTGATCACAGACATTACGCCCGCTACCCTCCCCCTTTCCCTCAGAGCGTGATCACAGACATTACGCCCGCTACCCTCCCCCTTTCCCTCAGAGCGTGATCACAGACATTACGCCCGCTACCCTCCCCCTTTCCCTCAGAGCGTGATCACAGACATTACGCCCGCTACCCTCCCCCTTGCCCTCAGAGCGTGATCACAGACATTACGCCCGCTCCCCTCCCCCTTTCCCTCAGAGCGTGATCACAGACATTACGCCCGCTACCCTCCCCCTTTCCCTCAGAGCGTGATCACAGACATTACACCTGCTACCCTCCCCCTTTCCCTCAGAGCGTGATCACAGGCATTACACCCGCTACCCTTTCCCTTAGAAGCCTTGTTTGGGGGGGGGGGGGGGAAGGGGTGGGGGTTGTTGTAAGATTAGAAGTTGATTACCAATCAATTTATCAGGGACACGCTTCATTATTAACTTGTGTAGAAAGGTATCTGATCAAGAGTGACCGGGGACTTGGCATTCTTTTTCAAAGAACAACAGAGTTGGAGTCTCAGTGCGCGCAAAGCAGTGGGCATGGCAAAAGACGCAAAGCTTACATGAGAAAGCGACCGACGTCCAAGCTACCGATGGACAAGGTAACCAGAGGCATGAATAGAGCACATGGTGTTGATGTAAAACATTTCTTGAACTTTAACTATGGTTGAAGTATTCTTGTAGTGTTGATGGTCATCTCATACTGATGGTAAGCAAATACGTTGTGCGTGATTGGTCAGCTCTATTTGAGCTACCCTCCCCTTTTTTCGTATGCTAATTCGCTTAAGGTGACTGAGATGCGATTATCAAAATGAGGGTGGGAGCTAGTGATTACATATGATAAAACTGACTCATTTTGCGGTATTACTGGTAGTGGGATCACTTTTTTCAAAATGGCAGGACGACCAAGATAAACAAGAATGAGGCAGGGCAAGGAGGGCGCATCACAGGTCATAGGCAGACCTAAACAGATGAGTTTTAAGGGACTTTTTGAAAGTGGACGAGGTTTCACTATGACGTATATGGAAGGGGAGCTGGTTCCAGAACGTGGGCCCATGGAAGTAGAAGGAGCGTTCACCGATGGTCTTAGTTTTAGTTCTTGGGATTGAGAGGGTTCTATTGTCAATGGAAGAGCGTAGTTGTCTTGTGGGGATGTAAGGAAGCAATAGTTCAGAGAGATAGACAGGAAAGTGAGGGTCAGTGAACGAGTTGAAGCAAAGATTGGCAGACTTGTACTTGATGCGAGAGGATATTGGAAGCCAGTGGAGTTGCTGCATGTGTGGTTGAATTGGGTCGTATTTCTTTTCATTCAGTCGTGGTGCATGAAAGAAATTGTGTGGATACCACGCTCCATGGGTGCACACACAAAACAGAAAATCTATGGATGTGCGCCAAATGTAAACTAAAAAGACAGTACGGAACAAGTGATACATTGTTTCCATCCTATTTAAAGGAGTTTCAGTTCCTTGGCAATATTACAAAAGTTAACGTGTTCAGGGACATCATTTGGGTAGGGCGGGGTGGGGAATTCTGCTTCCCCCCCCCCCCCCTGAATTTGCAGGTTTTATCTATATTGCTATCTGCTGTGGCACCTCCAGGGACATCATTTGGGTAGGGGGGGGGTGGGAATTCTGCTTCCCCCCCCCCCCTGAATTTGCAGGTTTTATCTATATTGCTATCTGCTGTGGCACCTCCAGTAATAAAAAACTTAAGCCAACCAAGTTTTGGGTTTGCACCATTCCCCCCCCCCCTGAAAAAACCTGAAATAGCGCCTCTGTATGGTGTTCAACAAGCTGGATGATATCCTGTTTCAAACATTTTAAACAGTTCAGTTTTTCTTGGATTTCCCAGAGCATAAAAGGTGTTACCGGTAGTTAAAGAGAACTTTTGCAGACATCGTTGATGTATAGCCTACTGTAGATTGTAATCTTCCGTTGGATTGTACTGTTTTATATCATTATGTCTATGTTTCACGTATTTATTTTCACACTATTTTGGTTTATGAACAATCCTACCACTACGTCACAAATTTTAAAAGGGAGTCCTGGACAAAGAAATAGTGCACCTATTATATAGAAAATGCCACCCATCTGGTAAACTTGTGTTCTCTGTGCCACAATGTTGCCCCATGGCAGCCTTATTGATTGTCTGGAACCATGACATGTAACCAAGATGGTGGCTGTGTAATAAAACAACAACAACAAAAACTCACGTCTGCTAAAACGGGGAGGACAAATGGAGAGAATGTTCTGGTTTAACTATTTACTATGTCTATATGTACCTAAGAAAGAAGGTTAATTATGTGTCCTACTTTCAGCCAGTAGGCCCTACATGCTCTGTTCACTCAACTAAACACATGTGCGGCTCAACTTACACTTACACACTGTGGTAAGAAAACTACAAATGAAGAAAAACAATAAAAATAATTGTAAAACAATGAAAACCCAACTTTAGTACTATGGTATAATAGTCATTACTCAAATGACTGGGAGTGGTTGCCTATGACTATGACACACTACACATAATTTATAGTATGGACTCTACCGGGTATTTAAAGCTCAAATTAAAATATTTTGTTTAAATACGGGTATCTCCTAAGTTCACCATCTCATACGCGCCATAGGGGGCTGCTGATCATCCATCGAGCACCTCCCCAGGTGGTGGATAAGGAAAGCCCACCTGATAGAGAGGGTACCACTGGTACCGTACCAGGAAATAAAATACCCGTGGCAGACCAAAATCAGACCCTACTGCCTCTATTAAATTTCTATTAAATTCAAATTCCAAATCAAAACTCTATCAACTTACAGTAGAGAAAAGTAAGAGTACACTCCTCAAAAATACTCATGTCTGGTTTTATGTTGGGAAATCTCTCTTGCGCTATAGAAAACCACCACTAATAATATTAATACAAATAAATAAATGTGATAAAATAAAAGTTTTCCTTCTTTAAGTGCTTTGTAAAAAAAATGACAAAAGTAGTACAGTTGTACAGAGCTAATTTCGAATAAGAAAAATTGAACCAAAATCAACTTTCCAGCTTCAGTAGTGTTGTTAAAAAATTAATTTTAAAAGACTGAGTTCGTTTGACTTTTTTAACTTTATTAAAATTGAATGTTTAACCACATTTTGTGACCCAAGCCAACTGTTGGGTCACTCTGTAGAACTCATGTTGTAATGTAATGTCATTTTTAAAATTAATTGTAATCCAAAAGAAGTTATTATTTTAAAATTAATTTTGATCTAAATTGAATACTATTCACCAATGTATTTATATTGTAATTAGTATCAATTCTTTAGTCAATAATAAGATCAAGTATAAATTCATTCGATAATGAGCAGTGGAAGATCTAAAAAATCAATGTGCACCATCAATTAAAATACAATCAGTGTTTACAAAATGTAATGCCTTGTATCACCTTAGATAACAAAATACTTACTAAATTATTTATCTAGTACTAGTAAATATGTCTACCAGTAACGGTACTTAAAATCAGGTGAAAAATAAACAACTGTAACTGTAATATTGTATGTTATACAGAATGATAATAATAACGAAAGGTAAAATTAATATATATTATTAATAAATTGTAAATATGTTGTATAGGTCAAGGGTTGGTAACCTATGGCCGGCAAGATAAATTGTAAATATGTTGTATAGGTCAAGGGTTGGTAACCTATGACCGGCAAGTTTTCCAATCATTTATAATTTGTATTTCTTTTAAAAATTAATAATCACCGCTTTGAATGCATAACATCTTTGCTTTTTATAAAAATATCTGGATTTATTCAAATTCCCAAACAGCAAGTTTCAGTATTTATTTACACTCCAAAATTGATGTCATTGTTTCACCATATGGCTAAGTCAGGGGGTCAGCAACTTTTTTTAAGGAGCCATTTTTATAAATTATATCTGTTATGAAAATATCTTGACAGCTACACGTCTAGATTTGTAAAAAAAAAAAAAAAAAACAGATCGTCTTGATTCCCTCAGTCTATTTACGATATTAGTTTGGATTTTTTTAGCATCATCATCAAGAATGCTTGGTCTCAGTCTGCACTGCAGTTTGGCATTATTTGCATATTTGAATTGATGATAAGTGGGTGGGTTTTGTTATACTACAAAGAAAATAAATGTTAATAAGCATTTTGCCATGACCAAAACATTTGTTTGTCATGTTTAGTTTTACATTATACCTTTTTATGGTTCTTAAAAAAGTATACATAATTACTTTTAGGAATTCAAGCATTCTTATTGTTTAGAATAGATTAGCTTTAGGAAGTCAAGCATACTTATTGTTCAGAACGGATTAATTTTAGGAAGTCAAGCATTCTTATTGTTCAGAATGGATTAATTTTAGGAAGTCAAGCATACTTATTGTTCCTGAATAAGCCTATGACCCAGATACATAAAAAAAAATTTTTGTTTGAATACACATACAAAATTTTTTTAAAGTAAAATGTGATGATTAGAATTGTAACTCATTAACAAGCTTTAAAATTTGGGGTTTAGTTTTTTTCACACTGCAGATTTGTTACTTGGTTTCCCTGCAATGAAAATGTGGCCAACAATTTCATTTTCAAGTAATTTTTTTTTTTTACAGTATATTTTGCTGACAATATAAAAAATCATTTTGTTGTTGGAAGATTAAAATTTGTGAAATACCATGAAATGGGGTGACTTTGCCTACTTTTGGCCTTTAAGCATAAATTTCAACATGTTAACTGATCTAAAAACTAACCCCTAGGTGCTAACATGCAGAGTGGGTACCTATACTTTGCAGATTTTAGAGGAACTGTGTCTTGTTTTAAACAATGGGGTTAATTAAAAAAAATAATTGTAATTTATATTTTTTCCTTGAATGGTTGCTTATTGGTAAAAATCAAATTTAAAAGAAAAAGCTTAATTTATTCATTTAAATAGCCTCATGTAGCCAAGAGTTGCTGACCCTGGACTGGCAAATAAATTTAAAATTAATATAAAGGAGTTCTACATCAAAATGCCATTCTTGTGTCTGCTCAGAGTGATCACCTACGTAGGATTCTCAAAATGGATTAACCACTGAGATTTGTGGCTTCAACAAATTCACCTTGGGAAATACCTTTAAAATAACCTCATGTCATTCTCAACATTTAATTTTTTCATTGCTTACAAAAAAAACATCAAATAATGCAGTGTCGAAAATTCATCTCGCAGACATGTGTAGAAGTAGAAGCAACTGAGAATATTTTGATATTACTCTATTGTAAGGCATCCATTACAAAGGAAAATTACTTGAAAGTCATAATTTTTTATATTTCTGCTTTTTGGCTAGGAGCAAAACAGAAAATTTGAGTAAGCTTGCATCATTATTACATTAGCCTGTCCTAATAGGACTAAATAATTTAATTTTTAACACAAAGCATGAAATTTTTATCTCATTACATAATAACTTAATTTATTTAACCCTCAGGTTCCAAGCAGTTAAAGTGAGCAGCATTTTCTGCTGCTCTCAAATTCATTCCCAGTCAATGCCATTGTGGTTCCACACAGCTCAAAAATTATGGTAGGTCTTTTTCTTATGAATTTCGAGCAGGTTTTTTCTTTTGACTTCAAAAAATTTTTTGTTAGCTCCAGCTCTGCTTTGGAAAAATTAAAAGAATAATTTTACATTAAATATTAGGTTTGCACAGATTAATTTTCCTTATAAGCCCTTTTGCCAATTTATTGTAAGCTGTTTGTTATTTCCAAAATAATCACTCTGTTTAATCTGCTGCAATGACTAAAATATAATGTATTCAAAGGATCAAGATCATTATTTTTTTTTAGGAAAAGGGGTGGGTGTTGAGAAATTTGCTTATTTTCACTTAGCCATCTTATAAACTAAACTGAGCATTAGAAACGTATTTATCAGAAACTTACGGGGTAGAAGAGTGGGGCACATTGCTGCTAGAAGAGTGAGGCAAAATTGCGGGTTGAAGTATAGGATTGGGGCAAAATAGCCGGTAGAAGAGTGGGGCATCAGTTTTAATTACGGTAATTAAACATTACAATTTAAATTTTTTTTGTATTTTTTAAATTAATTGATTAAATTTTTTTTTATAACTCAATACTAAGAAGTAAAACATAACATATATATATATTTAAAAAATAGCTGTAGAACCACGTTCTTTTAAATTTTAATAATTATAAAGAATCTTTTTTTGTCTTTTCAAACAATGGGGAGAAAAAGGAATCCAACCTGAGTCCAGTGATTTTTTTTTTCCTTTTAGTTCTCCCCTTAAATGAGGACTCACTTGATTATTGCTAAGCATTTTTATTTTTCATGTGTAATAATTCCAGCGGTTCCTTCATTTTTTATTTGTCATGTGTAATAATTCCAATGGTGTCTTTATTTTTTTATTTTTCATGTGTAATAATTCCAATGGTACCTTAATTTTTTATTTTTCATGTGTAATAATTCCAAAAGGTTAAAAAATAAAGAAACATCAGTATCGTTTGTTCCATTAATATAATTCCTAGATCATTCTTATTTACTATTTCCGAATTCTCTATATTTCATCACTTCACAGGGCTGAACCTATGAAAAAGAAAAAAAGAGTTGATCCTAGCATCCTTGCAGCCCGTTCTGCTAAAAAGATCAAAAGGATAGAGAAAGAGATCAAGAGGCTGGCAAAGATTGGTAGAATCTTAAAACCTATTGATGAGTTAGAAATAGATAATAAAAAACTGAAACTGGCCAGGTAAGCTTTAAAAAAATCCAATTATAATATCTAGAGTAATATTATAATAGTATGCACTGCTAAGCTTTGCATGAGTCAGTTTTGAATTTAAAAAAAAACATACTTTTTAAGACATTTTTTTAAATCATATATAAAATATACATGTAAAATGTTAACTATAAAAACTATTCCTATCTTCAAATAATCATATTTGAAGATTCTATCATTAAGATGTTTATGCTCACTAACAAAACTCTTTCAACCCATACCTAGTCACCATACAACTCAAAGTTTAAATATTGTTTTTTGCAGTGAAAGAAAACGAGAGCCAACTATTGAATCACCAGAAGCAACAGAAATGAAGGCCCTTTTGACAAAAGAATGGGGGCGGTACCGCTCGAGGCAATGGCGTTATGAATATAAAATATATCAACAACTGGTCCATGCACAACAAGAGGCTTTAGTGGAATTGAGGGCAGAAGCTGAAGAATTGTATAAAGCAGCATTACAGGTGATTAGTTCTACGACATTACTGGTAAACACACTTATATTACAATGAAATAAATCTAGAATATAACAGCATAGTAGAATACACTTACATAAAAATGAAAGGTAAATCCACTCATTATAATATAAAATTATGCTTACCACATTACTGTTTAATGCATATCCGATTTTAAAGTTTGATACTTATGTGTTCAATTTTAGTCTCTCCAAAACAGAGGTTTAAAAAACGGGGCCAGTTGACCTGTCCCTCAGACAGTGGGGGTTGGACTTGAGTTTTTTTTAAAAATAAAATCTCATTTGTAGTACGGAAATTTGTTTGAAAGACTTTTGTCAAAGGAAATTTGATAGAAGTTTGATTGAATGGAATTTCAGTCAAACAGAAAATAGTTTTTGTGTGAAGGTGAGACTTAGAAATGAGGAGATTTGTTTCAACTGAAGATTATTCCTAACTCAAATTTTGTCAAATTTAAAAAAAAAAAACAAATTACAGTAGCCTAGTTATTTAATAATTGGAGAATAGAATAAAAGCAGTAAATGTTTTTTAAAATTGCATTGTTTCAAACAAACAAACAAATCTCCACATATCTCACTTGCACCACTTGGACTTACAAACAAACAAATCTCCACATATCTCACTTGCACCACTTGGACTTACAAACAAACAAATCTCCACATATCTCACTTGCACCACTTGGACTTACAAACAAACAAATCTCCACATATCTAACTTGCACCACTTGGACTTACAAACAAACAAATCTCCACATATCTCACTTGCACCACTTGGACTTACAAACAAACAAATCTCCACATATCTCACTTGCACCACTTGGACTTACAAACAAACAAATCTCCACATATCTCACTTGCACCACTTGGACTTACAAACAAACATATCTCCACACAGCTCACTTGCACCACTTGGACTTACAAACAAACAAATCTCCACATATCTCACTTGCACCACTTGGACTTACAAACAAACAAATCTCCACACAGCTCACTTGCACCACTTGGACTTACAAACAAACAAATCTCCACATATCTCACTTGCACCACTTGGACTTACAAACAAACAAATCTCCACACAGCTCACTTGCACCACTTGGACTTACAAACAAACAAATCTCCACACAGCTCACTTGCACCACTTGGACTTACAAACAAACAAATCTCCACACAGCTCACTTGCACCACTTGGACTTACAAACAAACAAATCTCCACACAGCTCACTTGCACCACTTGGACTTACAAACAAACAAATCTCCACACAGCTCACTTGCACCACTTGGACTTACAAACAAACAAATCTCCACACAGCTCACTTGCACCACTTGGACTTACAAACAAACAAATCTCCACACAGCTCACTTGCACCACTTGGACTTACAAACAAACAAATCTCCACATAGCTCACTTGCACCACTTGGACTTACAAACAAACAAATCTCCACATATCTCACTTGCACCACTTGGACTTACAAACAAACAAATCTCCACACAGCTCACTTGCACCACTTGGACTTACAAACAAACAAATCTCCACACAGCTCACTTGCACCACTTGGACTTACAAACAAACAAATCTCCACATAGCTCACTTGCACCACTTGGACTTACAAACAAACAAATCTCCACATATCTCACTTGCACCACTTGGACTTACAAACAAACAAATCTCCACACAGCTCACTTGCACCACTTGGACTTACAAACAAACAAATCTCCACACAGCTCACTTGCACCACTTGGACTTACAAACGAACAAATCTCCACATAGCTCACTTGCATGAACATTAACGTGTTAATATTTCAATAGGAAATATTGGCCTGCTTTTTGCTTAATGTCAAAGTTTGGTTCCATATTTGTCATTGACACCTGGGTGTCAAAACTCCAGATATTTTATTGATTTAATTCATTAGATTCTTTTACAGTTGTTCACAAGTTGTATTAACACCGAATTAAACAGAAGTCCCTTTCCAATTATACCGTAATGAAACTTTAATCCAGCATTGTATTTAACAGGCTGTTTTATTTAAAATGAAATGAGTAAAACAAATTAGAGTTAAATCTGAAAAAAGGAAAGCAACAAAACAATGAACATGTCGGCAGGAAGCTTTCGTCAAATCAAGAGAAAAAACAGAATAAATTTAAAAATAGCACTTAGCTTAGAAGTAGTATCCAAAAGGGCAGCAAATGAATTGTGACAGAATGTAAGTGGGTGAGAGATTAAATTGGGAAGAGGGAAAGAAAAGAGGAGATAGGTTGGGACGTGGAGGGGCGGAGCTAGGTTCAAGCTGTGAGAAGAGACATGACGTTCATACTATGTGGTGTCCATGTGCCATAGGTCAGGATAAGCTTGTGTTCGTGCTAGCCACGATCTTGCATATTGAAAAGTCCGTCTTGCCCTGGTGATCGCTATTATTGAAGTGTTTAAGACGGGACACTGTTTATCTTGTGTAATATTACGGAGGTGTTTAGTACACCTGTCAGAGAATCGGCGTCCAGTCTCCCCTATGTACGTCATCTGACAGCGGAGGCAGACAATGGCGAAGACAACATTGCGACTAGTACAAAGGAAACCGTCGCTTATCTGAAAACTGCCCTTAGGAAAACGTATGTGTTGCGTCTGGACGACAAAAGGACAAGAGTTGCAATGGCTGCGTCCACATGGCTTGGTCCCAAAGGTTTAACCCTACTTTGTTTGACTCATTTCCTATTGTGCTCACCTGATTGCAGTCTCTCCCCTTATTACCCGGCTACATTTCATGAAACATATATATAGAAGCATTCGCTTTAAGAGAGAATAATGCACAACTATCCCCTACAAGGTGCTTTCAATGATTGTTAACGAATAAAATAAATCACCAATTAAATGGCGGGAAAAGCATTCATGAACTAATAAATCTCTTCAAACACTTGACACACAAGAAAGCATAGAATGTCTGCCAACTATCCCCTACAAGGTGCTTTCAATGATTGTTAACGAATAAAATAAATCACCAATTAAATGGCGGGAAAAGCATTCATGAACTAATAAATCTCTTCAAACACTTGACACACAAGAAAGCATAGAATGTCTGCGTTTCAAGTTAATCATTTAATCTTATAGAAATGTCTGCTTCTCCTGGGTCCTAACTTTTAACATCCCAGTTTCTCATTGTTTACTTTTATTAAACTATTTAACTATTTTTTCTTTAATGAGAGATTCAGCCCGTTCATTCATTGTATCATATCAATAACTTTAGCATTTCATTTCCTGTCCTTCATACATATAAAAAACAAAAATCTCTTTTAAACGCCATATGATGACTAATCAAAGTTTGTTTTGTTTCTCTCACTTATTTCTTATTTTCTCCTTCAATATACTCAATGAAATTCAACATGTCATTTAACCCATGTTCCAAAGTCTGACAATAAATTATAGGGGAATAAATGGCTCCATTTAATAGCAGCCCTAAAATTATGCACCTTCTTTTCTTTGGAATGGACCAAACTAAGCCCTTAAAAAATGCCATAGGGCAGATCAGGCCCTTCCTTTCCTAGTAGTACTGAGCATTAATAGAATTATTTGTAAACTAGAACTAGAATGATTTCTGCTTTAATTTTAATAAATTTTTAAATATTTTTTTTCCTGACATGCAGTTAATCATGCAACAGTATAACCAAGTTATGAAACAATGACAGCACATTTTTATTCTTAAGATTTTAAACTGAACATATGCTCATGTTCCCAGTTTTTGTTTATCCTTGTAAAATGGGATTTAAAAAATCTCACGCTGAAATCCCCCTGATAAAATTAATTCAATAAAAAAAAATTATTAAAATTACACCCAATTAAACTTTACAAGAGTGGCTTTTTAGACGTTTGCTTGTTATTGTCTATTAATACAGGAAAAACGATAGTAAGTTTACTTGAGAGGGTGGTCACTTGTTACTAGTTGATCGCTTGTTACTAGTTGATCGCTTGTTACTAGTTGCTTTATTTTCCCCTACTCTCTTAGCCAGAGTAATAGATAACTAGCCAATAATATTTAATATGCTTGTAACTCATAATAATCAGATATGACCACCTGAAGAAAAAACCTTTACACTTTAAACAAGTTTTCTTTTGTATTCTTTACAGGTCGCAAATTCTAGTTTCAAATCCAATCATGAAATATTGTTTGATGCCACTCATATTTTTTTCAAAATCTCACAGGTTCTGTCTCTATATATTTCCTCGAATTTCCAGACTCAAAATATATTTTAAAAATCATTTTCAAATCAGCGTTAATGCTTAATTTAGCACATATATTTTGAGTTATGGCTAAAAGGGTTCCCCGACCTTTGACTCTGATGTAGAGTTAAGAGCTAAAATATAATGTTATTCTTTCTTTTTTTTGTAGTACATTTCTATATTGCAATAATTTTTTTTAATTATTTAACTTAAAACCAAACCAAGTTAAAATTGTGATGATGTCTTAATTTAAAACCAAACCAAGTTAAAATTGTGATGATTTCTTAATTTAAGACCAAACCAAGTTAAAATTGTGATGATTTCTTAATTTAAGACCAAACCAAGTTAAAATTGTGATGATTTCTTAACAGAACTTGAACTTCTAAAATAGGGTTAGGTCCTGTCTCTAATTTTCTAATCCCAAATATTTTGATATAGCTTAGTAATATTGAAACCATGCATCTGCTAAAGTTTACATGTTCACATATTCTGAGAAAATGGGTCATCCATATAAATTTCCACACCCTCCTACCTGTTGCACCCATTTTTTTAGGACCCCCACCCCTCTGGATACGCACAAATGAGCTGGAAAAAAAAATTAATTAAAATTTTTTTTAAATATGCCAACTGTAAACACAGCTTTTCCTTTTGGGGATGTTTTGTCGCATCACATCCAGCATCACATCCAGCATCACATCCAGCATCACATCCAGCATCACATCCAGCATCACATCCAGAATCACATCCAGCATCACATCCAGCATCACATCCAGCATCACATCCAGCATCACATCCAGAATCACATCCAGCATCACATCCAGCATCACATCTAGCATCACATCCAGCATCACATCCAGCATCACATCTAGCATCACATCCAGCATCATCTTGCACTATAAAAAATGTGTATTCAGCCTATGTAACTACTTTACAAGATAAAATGAAATTACTGGTAAATATTGTAAGAAACTGAACTTCTCACCTGGATCTTCTGGCATGAAATTTTGTGAGGTGTGATAACATATATAATGGTCATATATAAACCAAGTTTTCCATATCTGTTGCAAAAAGCTTAGTATTAGCAGACTTAATTTAAATTTTACCATTAGCTACTTCCTTATTACTATCAGTTGACACAAGGGCTTAAACAGGACAAACCAAGGAGAGTGTCCTTTAAGCTCGCCCATGCGTTTTTTTTTTAAAATGTTGCTTCTCATTGAATTTCTTAATGCAAAAATGTTTTGAATTAGGCTGAGACTAAGACATTTGTATGTTAATGTTGTGCATGTAAAACAATTGTAATACTTTATATTAAAATTCTCTACAGATTGATTATGCATTGATTCCTGTTGATTTTCAAGGACCGAAATTAACTCCAGCAATACAAGATTACAGTGTTCCAGATGGAGAATATGTAGACACCACAAGAAAATATTAAAACTAACTATTATGATAAAAAAGATTTTGTTTTTAATGTACATTTAAAGACCTGGAGACTTGTCTATAGTGGTTGAACTGAAGGAACTCTATATTCTGCCAAGTCATACAGAGCAAATGGGCCATCCATATAGTAAATGGTATGTATACAAAAAAAGACATCCCACCCCCCCTTCCATTGCACCATACTCTTTTGGACACCCACCTATGTGTACATACAATGAGCTTTTCATCTCCCCCTTACAGCCACCTATGTGTACATGCAATGAGCTTGTAATCTCCCCCTTAAAGTCACAATACAGAAATGAGACGCTCATTTTCACCATTGTTTGGCAAGCCAGGCGTGTTACCAAAATATGCACCGCGTCACCCTGGGGTGCTGCATTGCCCTCAGTTAGGACCATAAGAAAGAGGCAAAAGGGTCGCTCAAAATGATCTTAAGATGGGAACTTCAAAGTGATTGAAAATATAAAATACCATCTACAGTACCGGTACTTCACAAAAACAAGGGGTGGCAAAAATCATAGAGTGGCACTTTTTTCTATGTTTTGCCTTAAATTAAAGCTTAACCTTAGGCATACTGTTTTACTTACACAGATATGGTAGTTTGTGTCCTATTGATTTTAGTCAAAATAAATTATGCTTTTATTGGATATTAAACCAATTCTTGTTGGATAGTAAATACTTAAAATGAGTTTTCTTTTGCATTCTTAACAGCGAATTCTGGTTTCAAATCCACCACAAAATATTGTTGGCTGCCCCTCATTTTTGCAAATTTTCCAGGTTCAATCTAAATATTTCCTTAAATTTACAGACTCATAAAATATGTTAAAATATCATTTTCACAGGGGGGGGTGGTAACCAATGTTCCCTCTAAGGTTTGTTGGTTCGTGTGCAAAATCATACAGTTGTATGCAAAGTTTTACAGCATCACTTTTGTTGTGTGCAAAATTTTACAGCCCACAAACACAAATTTACATGGAAATTTGCTGCACGGATACTCAAAACTGCTGCGCGGCGTCTGTGAGAAAGCTGCACGGCCAGGCAGCTTAAAGGGAACATTGGTGGTAACGCTTAATTAAGCAATTACATTTTGGGTTATGGCTAAAAGGTTCTTTAACTGTAACATAATGCGAGATGTGTGAGTAAAGATGAGGGGGCCATATACAACACTCATGAAAATCAACATTGTAGAAAAAACACAAGACGATGCAATTAACCATGTTCGCAGTAGGATGCAATGAACCATGTGATACAATGAACCATGTGATGCAATGAACCATGTGATGCACTGAACCATGTTCGCAGTAGAATTTGAATGGTTCTGAGTTCAAAAATAAATTTGTTAAAGTGGTCCAGCCCATCCTACCATTTGATGACTAGAGTGTTCCAGCCCATCCTACCATTTAATGACTAGAGTGGTCCAGCCCATCCTACCATTTGATGACTAGAGTGGTTCAGCCCATCCTACCATTTGATGACCAGAGTGGTCCAGCCCATCCTACCATTTGATGACAAGAGTGGTCCAACCCATCCTACCATTTGATGACAAGAGTGGTCCAGCCCATCCTACCATTTGATGACAAGAGTGGTCCAGCCCATCCTACCATTTGATGACAAGAGTGGTCCAGCCCATCCTACCATTTGATGACTAGAGTTTTCCAGCCCATCCTACCATTTGATGACAAGAGTGGTCCAGCCCATCCTACCATTTGATGACTAGAAGTGTCCAGCCCATCTTACCATTTAATGACTAAAGTGTTCCAGCCCATCCTACCATTTAATGATTAAAGTGTTCCAGCCCATCCAACCATTTAATGACTAGAGTGTTCCAGCCCATCCTACCGTTTAATGACTAAAGTGTTCCAGTCCATCCTACCATTTAATGACTAAAGTGTTCCAGCCATTTAATGACTAGAGTGGTCCAGCCCATCCTACCATTTAATGACTAGAGTGGTCCAGCCCATCCTACCATTTAATGACTAGAGTGGTCCAGCCCATCCTACCATTTAATGACTAGAGTGGTCCAGCCCATCCTACCATTTAATGACTAGAGTGGTCCAGCCCATCCTACCATTTAATGACTAGAGTGGTCCAGCCCATCCTACCATTTAATGACTAGAGTGGTCCAGCCCATCCTACCATTTAATGACTAGAGTGGTCCAGCCCATCCTACCATTTAATGACTAGAGTGGTCCAGCCCATCCTACCATTTAATGACTAGAGTGGTCCAGCCCATCCTACCATTTAATGACTAGAGTGGTCCAGCCCATCCTACCATTTAATGACTAGAGTGGTCCAGCCCATCCTACCATTTAATGACTAGAGTGGTCCAGCCCATCCTACCATTTAATGACTAGAGTGGTCCAGCCCATCCTACCATTTAATGACTAGAGTGGTCCAGCCCATCCTACCATTTAATGACTAGAGTGGTCCAGCCCATCCTACCATTTAATGACTAGAGTGGTCCAGCCCATCCTACCATTTAATGACTAGAGTGGTCCAGCCCATCCTACCATTTAATGACTAGAGTGGTCCAGCCCATCCTACCATTTAATGACTAGAGTGGTCCAGCCCATCCTACCATTTAATGACTAGAGTGGTCCAGCCCATCCTACCATTTAATGACTAGAGTGGTCCAGCCCATCCTACCATTTAATGACTAGAGTGGTCCAGCCCATCCTACCATTTGATGACTAGAGTGGTCCAGCCCATCCTACCATTTAATGACTAGAGTGGTCCAGCCCATCCTACCATTTAATGACTAGAGTGGTCCAATCCATCCTACCATTTGATGACTAGAGTGGTCCAGCCCATCCTACCATTTAATGACTAGAGTGGTCCAGCCCATCCTACCATTTTTTGACTAAAGTGTTCCAGCCCATCCTACCATTTAATGACTAGAGTGGTTCAGCCCATCCTACCATTTAATGACTTGAGTGATCCAGCCCTTCGTACCATTTAATGACTAGAGTGGTTCAGACCATCCTACCATTTAATGACTTGAGTGATCCAGCCCATCCTACCATTTAATGACTAGAGTTGTCCAGCCCATCCTACCATTTAATGACTAGAGTGGTCAAGCCCAGCCTACCATTTGATGACAAGAGAGGTCCAGCCCATTCTACCATTATATGACTAGAGTGTTCCAGCCCATCCTACCATTTGATGACTAGAGTGTTCCAGCCCATCCTACCATTTGAAGACAAGACTGGTCCAGCCATTCCTACCATTTGATGACTAGAGTGGTCCAGCCCATCCAACCAATTTATGACTAGAGTGGTCAAGCCCATCCTACCATTTAATGACTAAAGTGTCCCAGCCCATCCTACCATTTAATGAGTAGAGTGTTCCAGCCCATCCAACCATTTAATGACTAGAGTGTTCCAGCCCATCCTACCGTTTAATGACTAAAGTGTTCCAGCCCATCCTACCATTTAATGACTAAAGTGTTCCAGCCCATCCTACCATTTAATGACTAGAGTGTTCCAGCCCATCCTACCATTTGATGACAAGAGTGGTCCAGCCCATCCTACCATTTGATGACTAGAGTGTTCCAGCCCATCCTACCATTTGATGACTAGAGTGTTCCAGCCCATCCTACCATTTGATGACAAGACTGGTCCAGCCCATCCTACCATTTGATGACTAGAGTGGTCCAGCCCATCCTACCATTTAATGACTAGAGTGGTCCAGCCCATCCTACCATTTAATGACTAGAGTGGTCCAGCCCATCCTACCATTTAATGACTAGAGTGGTCCAGCCCATCCTACCATTTAATGACTAGAGTGGTCCAGCCCATCCTACCATTTAATGACTAGAGTGGTCCAGCCCATCCTACCATTTAATGACTAGAGTGGTCCAGCCCATCCTACCATTTAATGACTAGAGTGGTCCAGCCCATCCTACCATTTAATGACTAGAGTGGTCCAGCCCATCCTACCATTTAATGACTAGAGTGGTCCAGCCCATCCTACCATTTAATGACTAGAGTGGTCCAGCCCATCCTACCATTTAATGACTAGAGTGGTCCAGCCCATCCTACCATTTAATGACTAGAGTGGTCCAGCCCATCCTACCATTTAATGACTAGAGTGGTCCAGCCCATCCTACCATTTAATGACTAGAGTGGTCCAGCCCATCCTACCATTTAATGACTAGAGTGGTCCAGCCCATCCTACCATTTAATGACTAGCGTGGTCCAGCCCATCCTACCATTTGATGACTAGAGTGGTCCAGCCCATCCTACCATTTAATGACTAGAGTGGTCCAGCCCATCCTACCATTTAATGACTAGAGTGGTCCAGCCCATCCTACCATTTGATGACTAGAGTGTTCCAGCCCATCCTATGATTTGATGACAAGAGTGGTCCAGCCCATCCTACCATTTGATGACTAGAGTGGTCCAGCCCATCCTACGATTTAATGACTAGAGTGGTTCAGCCCATCCTACCATTTAATGACTAGAGTGGTCCAGTCCATCCTACAATTTAATGACTAGAGTGGTCCAGCCCATCCTACCATTTAATGACTAAAGTGATCCAGCCCATCCTACCATTTAATGACTAGAGTGGTCCAGCCAAGCCTACCATTTGATGACCAGAGTGGTCCACCCCAGCCTACCATTTGTCATACCATTTGATGACCAGAGTGTTCCAGCCCAGCCTACCATTTGTCATACCATTTGATGACCAGAGTGGTCCAGCCCAGCCTACCATTTGTTATACTATTTGATGACTAGAGTGGTCCAGCCTACCATTTGATGACTAGAGTGGTCCAACTCAGCCTACCTTTGGTTGACTAGAGTTGTCCAGATTACCATTTCATGACTTGAGTTTACCACTAGAGTGGTTCAGCCCAACCTACCATTTAATGACTAGAGTGGTCCATCCTAATCCTACCATTTGATGACTTAAGTGGTCCAGCCAATCCTACCAAAGTAGAATGACTAGTCTGGTCCAGCCCGCCTACCATTTGATGACTAGAGTAGTCCAGCTCATCATACCATTTGATGACTTGAGTGGTCCAGCCCTTCCTACCATTTGATAACTAGAGTGGTCCATCCTAATCCTACCATTTGATGACTTGAGTGGTCCAGCCCATCCTACCATTTGATGACTAGAGTGGTCCAGCCCACCCTACCATTTGATGACTAGAGTGGTCAAGCCCAGCCTACCATTTGATGACTAAGAGTGGTCCAGCCAAGCCTACCATTTGATGACCAGAGTGGTCCAGCCCAGCCTACCATTTGTCATACCATTTGATGACCAGAGAGTTCCAGCCCAGCCTACCATTTGTCATACCATTTGATGACCAGAGTGGTCCAGCCCAGCCTACCATTTGTTAAACTATTTGATGACTAGAGTGGTCCAGCCTACTATTTGATGACTAGAGTGGTCCACCTCAGCCTACCTTTGGTTGACTAGAGTGGTCCAGATTACCATTTCATGACTTGAGTTTTCCACTAGAGTGGTTCAGCCCAACCTACCATTTGATGACTAGAGTGGTCCATCCTAATCCTATGATGACTTAAGTGGTCCAGCCAATCCTACCAAAGTAGAATGACTAGTCTGGTCCAGCCCGCCTACCATTTGATGACTAGAGTAGTCCAGCTCATCATACCATTTGATGACTTGAGTGGTCCAGCCCTTCCTACCATTTGATAACGAGAGTGGTCCATC